ATATTTTACAATTTTTTGCTACTCTTAATATCTCGCTTAATATCCCTAAATACAAATTTAAATCAAACCCTTTGAATTATTAAATTTATAAGTATTTATTCAAATTTACTTCAAAAATATATTTTTTTACGTTTTTTTAGAAGTATATAAAATATTATTAATGAATATTATATTAATAATTAATACTAATGTTAAAAATATTATTAACTAGCTAAGTCGGCAGTTTCACGTGCATTAAATTTATAGCCTATATTTTATTTTGATGTATAAGCAAGCTACTACTGTAAAGTTCCATCAAAATCCGTTCATTAATATTTGTGTGAAAGTGTAACAAACATCTATTCATACTTACAAACTTTCGCGTTTATAATATTAATAAGATCTTTAAATTAATATATAGTATTGTATATGGTTTGGATAATTAATTGTAATAAATACATAATTTTAATAGTACGTACATTAAATTCTTTATTATCTATTCTGCTCGTATAACTTTTATGTACTTTAACTGGAATAAAACAATGATAAGAAATATAAAACCACGTTCAGCTATCACCGAGAAAAAGAATATAAAAATAATTTCTAATATGATACTGTTAACGAACCGGACAGAAATCCAATTGTGGAAGTTTTTAAGTGTTTTCATCGACAAAAATCTACGAAACGGGAAGAAATTCAATAACGTCTGTGCAAAATAAACTTCATTAAACCGACAAGCGAGTGCAATAAACGAAAATGTTATTTTGGTGCTGTTCGACGAAATGAAACAACAACACTTCGGTAGAACAATGTACATATAACTAATGGCAACTTAGAATTCAGTTGTTATTAATTGTAGAATACAATAAACTAGTACTGTTCTGCAGGTTTTCTCGGTTGCTCCCGAAATTATCCGTGTTACATGCATTACAGCTGCTTATGAGGTATGCTCTCGTTATTACGACTCATTAATTATATTACTTACTTTGCTGTATATATAATATTTTTTATAACGACTTTGCGCTATACGGTTTACATAAAATCTTGTATAATATTTATCTAAAGCATCAATCAAGTAATGATTTTGATTTGATTGATTGCTTGCTGAATTTTTCTTTATTTATATTGTCGTGGTAGAAATAAAAATATTCCTAAGAGACTAAGTTAAATTTTTTATTATTACTTTTATTGAAATAAGATTATCTATAATCTAATTCAAATTCAAATTCAAAATATCTTTATTCATGTAGGTCTAATACAGACTCTTATAATATGTCAAATCTACCATCAGTTCGGAATGATTTCGAGATGAAAAGAACTGACAAGAAACTCAGCTCGTATTTTTTTTAAATGTTGTACATATTTACAATAATATAGATTTATTTAATCTATCTATAATTACTGTTAGAATTAAAAAAAAACTTTGAATTTTGAATTTGTTAATCTTATATGAATGTTCATTGTGTGGAATTAAATCGCAAATAAATGATAACAAAATAATATATAGTTCAGTAGCATCAATATAAGTGTACGGATACTGTGAATGCTGTATGTTGCGATCTTTCGTTGGACAATCTAGTGACGGTAGTTGAAAAAACTGCTGGCACCTACTTATATTGTCGTCGCTGTTATTTAAGCCAGCTCGTGACCACGGCTAGTGCAACCTAGTCAAAATATCGAGATAGGTATATATCCTTATTTACCATAAAATTATTTGTGTTAAGACCCGGTTCACTATATAAATAATTTTCAATTTTTAAAATTTATATCTTAAAAAAACATGCTATACCATGTTCACACAAGGTTAGAGTGACGTGTCTGTGCTTGACATGCAGGTACACACCTCGAGGAAAATTTACTTACTTGACAAGCATCCGTTCAAGCATCTGAGTCATTTGCATTTTAATTGCATAGTCACTACAGCTTGCCTTTCGAGATGCGGTATAAGATAGGTATAACTCACGATCAAAGATGCTTTTTGACAAACTTAACGAAAGATTAGCAAAATTCTGATATTTAAAAACGTTTATTCGTTATTTTTGTCTTATTACGATTGTCTTTAAATTTCTTAGATAGCGTATGGAGTTTATACTAAAACCATAAATCCTGTCACAAATATTAGAATTGACAGCAAAAATATGTGTCAACGAAAAATGATTTACTGAGGGTTATCCGTCCCATAATCAGAGTTATTTGATTTACGGCGACACCCTAATCCTCGGTCACATTTCGACACCCTATATGTAGTAATAAGGTGCGGTTAATACAAAACAGTAGAGTAACGGTAGATTGTATCATAAGCGAGCAAAATATTGTTTATTACAAAGGCTCTATTTCGAATTCAGAGAGTAATAAGAGTTTCTATAGCGAAATCTTAACTGCAGCATAGGATTCAATTTTGTTTATTGCGTTGTTGTAAGGTGTTAACAATATGTTATTCAAAAATGTGAAATTTATAAAAAATATACTTATTGATAATGGTAGATAACAATGAAATAATCGAAGATAGAGAAAATTATTGATACAGCAATCTAGAAGTAGCACTTGTTACATGATAAAGAACTTGTAGTCGTTACTTTCTATTATACTTAAGCGATACCCAATACAGATTATACAATACAACTATATGTATATTTATAAGTCTAAAATACTTATTCCATTATTTGAGTTAAACCATGATTTAATTACATATAATTTATTCAAGATTAATTTAATAGAACAAGGTATTATAATAATAAAGCTGGTTGTATTCTATGGCTTTGCTCTTATAATAATCATAATAATAAGGTAAGGCGAGACTTGGCATGACCTGTCCTCGGCACTAATCACCAGCTTCAAAAGCTGTGACATAAGAAAAATAATAATAATAACCCTGGATAATTCATTTAGCGTCACCTTGTCCCCAGCTAACTGGTACAAATACTTAGATTTTTTTGTAAATACATATACAATATACACAGAAAACACCCAAATCGATACAAATCATCATATTCATGAATGAAAATAAAAATGTTTGCACCGTGCGAGGAATAGAGCCCACGACTATCAGAAGTAAAGCGGTGTGCTAAAGCGCTAGACCGAGGTCGTCAAATTAGGACGAAAGTATACCTTATGTGTTTGCCTAGAACTTGGTCAATCTGTGTACCAAATTTTATTCAAATTCGTTTTGACTCACCGAAATATTAACATATTTACAAACTTTTACATTTATTATAGTAGTAAGTTAGTTAAATTAGTAGTAGTAGGTATAAATATTTATATAATGATTAAGTTTTTTTGTATACCACCTTGGTGGCAAACTAGCATACCGCCCATCGGATGGTAAACATCAGGGTTGTTCGGTTGCCGACCCTAAATATGCTTAAGCTATATAGTAAAGGTTTTTAAATAAATTTTATATTTATTTTCACAATAATTTTATTATGATAAATAATCATTGGATAGAATGTTGGTAAATATATTATCAATTGCGAAAATAATTATCCAAAACAAACAATATAAACTGATAATATAGGTATTACACACCAATTTAATATGAATTTTCACAATTCATATTAAATTGGTGTGATGATCAGAATAGATGTAATCAACCGTACAATGACTAAATTGATTTACAAAGAGCTCGTTTATTAAGCACGGTCTTCTTATCACAAAACAAACAGGTAGTTTGGATTTGAGCTGATTTTTAGATTGGATGCATTACTGAATGATGAATAGTTATTTGATATACTATAGTATGATGATAGCAATCACAACAACAACTTATGACAAGCAGATACATTTTGATTATACCTGCATAACTATCTCATGAAACTAATTTATGAAGTATTTAATATATATGTATTATATATATATATATATTATAAAATTATGATAGAATTACTTCTTAATAAAATATTTCAATATTAATGAGTATTTCAATAAAGATTTATTGGCATTATAATTATTGACTTTAATGAGAAGATATTGTTTTGTAACGTACATTTATTATTTACAGTATAGAAAATTATGATATACATATATAATAATAGACACAATAATTTTAAGTTTAACATACAAAATTATAATCTTGTTAGGTCATATGCCTATATTGCCATACCCTTTCTGGGCGTCACAAATAATTGTAAAAATTTAACCATGCTCTGAATGCATGTGTTTTATGTTTTTATGATACTGCTATAAATATATAAATATATTTATCACTGGAGAAGAATATACGTATATAAGTAGGAAGTCAAAATTGAATAAAGTATCGAAACAAAATTTTAAACATCCCATAAATTGACTTGCACTCTCGACGTAAAAGCTTTTATATCTTTGTAATCATGTAAAATGGGATCGCTAACAATGTTTGAACTAGCAACTAAGTATTTTAATAACAAAAAAAAACTCACCATGAATTCACTATGTAATAAAGTTAGGATACAGGTCATTTGGATTCACGATTCATTTATAAAATGCCTGCAGGTTTAACTATCTATACTAATAGTGTAAAAAGACAGCGCAGATTTGATTAAAAGGAGAGTAAACGTTGGAACTAATGCACCCATTTGGCAAATTCTTTCATTGTTGCGTATATTATTTCAGTATTAAATAGGCTATATAGCTGATATGTTAATATATACAAAACTCACAAAGTTATATGAGCCACTAGTGTTATAAAATGAAACAAATTATTATCTACTCGTTACAATTAAGCTCGGGTATTCGTGCTCTATAAATTAACTGTAGTAGAATCGTTTACTTTGTTTATTAATGTTAATTCGTACAAACTTGTATCATGATGACAATGTTATTTATGATTCTGGATATAGCTGGTCTGTATCGATCTTTTATTTAAATTGCAGTACGTGTCTTGTATGGATACAATATGTAGTAAAAAAACCTTTATTAATATATGTAAAGTTAATCAGAAATTCAATTTGTCTTTTATATCTAATTCTTTATCCAAAAGAAAGTTATAACTTATACAGTATCGTAATATAGTAATATATACTTAAATAATTTAATTACATACGCACCTTCTAAAATCTCTGCTCCAGCAGGCATAAATGACAGGATTCATTGAGGAATTGACCCAACCGAGCCAAGTCACGACCATGTTGACTATCTCCACATGCGCAATGCATGCCGAACAAATGCCTGACAGCAAATTCACTACGAAGAATGGTAACCAACACACTATGAACACACCCATCACTATACCGAGAGTCTTGGCAGCTTTCTTTTCTTTAGCGAACTTAGCCAACTTACGCGACAACGAAAAGTTTTTTGGCAAATGCTTAGTATGTGTCACATTTGTTAAACGCGTGGATGAACGTGACAGTCCATTGTTTTGCAGAGCAGTCAGTGGCTCCTGATCTGCTTCCTCAGGAGTACACGCACCGTGACATGCATCACTTCGCTGACGCACTGTTCCTCCTCTATGTATACGCAGAGTCAACTCTAATTCACCACTCGGCCTCATTACTTGTTTAGTACCGATTTTTAAAGACCGCGTTTGTATAGTTGCTGCGCGATATATACGATAGTAAGTGAACACCATGACAAAAAGGGGCAAATAAAATGATATTGTTGACGAAAATATTATATACTCAAGGTTTTCCGTAAACGGACACTTATAATCTGGCACTTCTTCTAAACGCACAGCGCGCCACCATGCAATAGCGGGGAAGGATATAGCACCGGAACACACCCATACAGCGGCAATAAGGAAGGCCGCTTTCCGTCCGCTCATTCGCATGGGATATGTAATAGGGTCCGTGATGGCCCAGTATCGGTCGAGAGAGATCACGCACAAGTTTAGTATAGAGGCAGTACTGAATAACACATCTAAGGATCGCCACACATCGCACCAATCTACACCAAAGAACCACGTATGCTCCAGTACTTCGTACAGCGCTGAAAATGGCATGACTACTAATCCTACTAGACAGTCAGCCACTGCAAGTGATGTAACAAAATAGTTCGTTGACGTGTGTAGGTAACGTTCGCGTATCACAGCAAGTATGACAAGCATGTTTCCGAAAACTGTTGTCAAGGAAAATAGGAGGAGAAACGTGACCAGCAATGCGCGATCTTGAAGGAGTTTAATGTAGTCGTTCCACTGATCTATTGATTCTTCTGTGAGGTTATACACTGAACTATTGTCAAAGGTAATGTTGAACTCCAGCACGGTATTGTAAACAGCGCCCGAGGTATCCAGAACATATTCTGGTCCTCTGTATGATATATCTAATTGGCCTTTTGCCACCAGTATATCAGGATCGGACGCGTTCATATTTTTTCACTGGCTATGTACTTGCTAGCCCCATGCTGAGTGTTTATGTTTTCCTTGTTTCGCCCGCAGCCATTTCGAGATTACGTTCTTGGCAGGCATTGTGTTTTTGAATTCCACTTTCGGGCACATATTTCGTTGGCATATTTTTTCCAGTACCAGATATACTATGCCATGACCTGAAACAATATAAAAAAAATATATTAATAATGAAGGAAAACTAACTTTCGATTGTTTTTGGAATCAGATTACAGCTAATGGTCTATTCTATTATAATTGTAACAGGCAGGATTTATGACAAATTACTGTATTAAAAGTTTCAAAACAGAAAAGGTCACATACAAACAGTAATAATTTCATGACATTGGGTGACGGTCATGGCACTGGTTGCTGTTACATCTGCGGACTATGGTGTTGTATCCCTGTACACTGTTTTCTTACTAACATATTTCATCTTTAAACCAAAACACAGATTATAAGTCAAACTGCTGAAATAAGTATATAAGGTAGACGACTTTATACAAAGTATACTGTGGTATACCGGCATCAGAATAATTTATATACCAAATAATATAGGTTTCAATTATAGTAAATCTAAAGAGCTTAGCGTAAAAATATTCTAAAAAGCTAGTATTGAGTTCGTATTTAATTTCCATTGACATTTGTAATATGGCGAGCTTTGCTATCATATTCTTAACCATACGTTACATAATAGTTCCTACCTAATCTTTAGAGGTTTATAGTACATTAGCCAGAAGGGAACCCTAATAATTTTGCCAACCCAGCTGTTTCACTATCGTTAGCCTCGTAATCATAAATTTCGCATTTTAAGTTTGATGGTCACGAATAGTTCCCACTAAAGTAATAAAAATTTGAATTACGAATTACTTTATTTAGTTTCAAAGTAAACTAAAAAGTTCCTGATCTATTTTGAAGTATAATAATAATACATTGGATCTGCAGGAAATAAGTTTACAAACCTTTCCGGTTGATAATTATGTAAAACTCCATACAGTAATTTATTTACTGTAATGTAGACATAGTAAAGAATATACCAATACAATTATAGTAATATTATATTTTGCTATTGGTTACGATGCTGTATGCTCTAAAAACAAGTCTCTATTTTGGTAAATATATGGCACGTCTTCGATGTCTAACGATTTAGCACAGTGCACTAATTGAGGTGGTCGCGGGTTTGTATGTATTTAAAAAAATATGTGAATATATGTATGTTGTTTTGTATATTGTATATGACGACCTCGGTGGTCTAGCGGTCTTGCACACCGCTTTACGACCGATGGTCGCGGGTTCGATTCCTCACACGGCACAAACATTTTGTATACATGAGTATGATTGTTTGTATCGGTCTGTGTGTTTTCTATATATAATATGTATGTATTTACAAAAAAAAAATATCTATGTATATGTATCAGCTATCTAGTACCCATAACACAAGCTTTAGCTAGCTTAACTTGGGTCTAGATGGCGCTGTGTGAATTGTCCTGAGATTATTATTATTATTATTATTATTATTATATATACATCATCACCACCATAATGCAAGTTTGGGACTATGGCGCTATGGTAAGGTACGGCATGTACCCTTCACGTCATAGCGCAACAGAAGCTGTTTATTTATATTGAAGGTGGAACTCAAAAGCTACCATTTAACATTATGAAGTTTGGATGTAGAGGGAGGCGTCGGGGGATGGGCGGATCGGTTCAGGCGCTGTCATGTGGACGGGTTCCTCACGGCCCATGGAACACAATTCGTTTGATCTCACCGCTTGCTCGCTAAGCGCTATTTATGGCCCGACAAGGACACCTGTCGATGATGACGACCGACAGCAGTGACGATATTAGACCCGTGGCATTGACATGTGACGTTCAAGACAATGACAATCTTTTCAATGAAGGTTTCATACGGGAAAGAAATTTCGTACTAAAATTATAAATGCGAAAGTGTGTTCATGTGTTTATATTACTTTTAGGCAACTGAAGGCTGCACGGAACTCAACGAAATTTGATGTTGTTTTGACAAATTGTTTCATGAGGTTATCTTTTACAAGATGTAGACTTTGTACAAGATCTTAGTCTTCTATTTCAGCCATCAAAAAACTAACTTTATAAGCTGTGTTTCTATTGGAGGTTGAGATATGGAATTTAAAATATGGTTACGGAGAAATAATATCTTAATACTTCAGAATGGCATCCATAAGGGGTGCTATGAAGTACCCCAAGTATGTGACATCATATAACGTTACTTTCGTAGTACTTTTAAAGTATGTAGGTGGCGGTTATGACTTAAGTATGGTCCACTTGTTTACCATTCCAATTAGGTATATACAATATTAAAAGATAATATATAAAGGTGTAAAATAGAATACCAAACTTTGTACAGACGAAATCGCTGGTAGTACTTACTCGTTTCATATACATTTATAGTATTGATATAGTTAGGTGTATAATTGCAGATATGTCATTTTACTTACAAGAAAAATAATTTATTAGCAGTACATAACATAAATATATTAAATATTATTCTGACTACATCCCAATATGAGTAATACCAAAACTTGTCAGTGAACGTATCAATAACAATTTGACGGCCTCAGAAATATCTGATTAGAAATATAGACCCAGATTCATCGCACAATGCAAAAAACACATAAGTATAATAGCTTGTATTGGTTTCTGAGTTTTCTATATATATTATTATTTATGTATATATATATTTATAAACAATGTATCGAATTATTCCCACAAATAATAAAATATCAATTGTTTAGGACCCATAATACAAGCACTGCTTAGATTGTCCAGTGTTAAAAAAAATGCCATTTAATCACCACCTTTTTTTTGTTTTCTATCACTTCTATTATGAAAAGTAATTTGGAAGCAATTACTGAACTGTTTAGTTATTAATATCCTATTACTTTCTCAATTATTTTATGAGGTGCAATAATGAGTTAATTAATAAATAATGTATTGAGAATATAATGAATTTATTTCCTAATTGAAAAACTTATTGCAAAACGAAGGATTCGTTTTGCAATATGATGCAGATCGCAGTTTATACATTTCGCTGGATTTGCTTAATAACGTTGAGTTTGGATTTTATGTCGTCATCAGTGGCCCCCGAGTATTAGATCTCGTAAATTGTCAATTACAACTTTCGACGTCCGTCCCGTAATTTTTCTTGGTGTACGGACAACGACTGTCGGAACGACGTCCTGAACTTATATAATAAGTTTGTGTTGACAACGACCGGCTACGCTTCAATTTCTTAATAATATCTTTGTAAAGGGTCGTACCACAATTTGCATAACAAACGCTTTATTGTACAGCATATAAATATAAGTATAATGGTAGCTACAATATAAATCTATGTCCTATACATTGTATATGTAGTATGGTACTGCTTGCGTGAGTAGATATTTGTCTACAAAGTAAGTGAATGAACCAGGAATTAACCAGGGGGGGGATTGCTAATAAAGTAAAGGAATAAATAACCAGGAGGGATTTATAACATACATTTCGATTTTTGTTATAAATATTTTCTTGATATTCGATAGCTACCAGTAATTAGCTTGGTGACTTAGTGATTACGCTGTGTAATTAATAAACGCCAATGTAATTAACCCATAGAACCCACTTAAGTATTGCCAATTTTTCTTCCGCCACTCTGTTATTTATATGGGGATCGAAGGCGGGACGAATGGACCGACCCTTCTAGTTCTGGATTAAGAAAGTGTAATCCTACTTCTTACTTTTTCACAGTTGACTTTTGCTGATAATGTCTTTTCCTTTAAAATGCTTATACAGTATATTTTAAGCTGGATATAGTTATACAGATTCCACTTAATAATAATACTCCTGTAATACACAAGGACACCTAGTCTCAAGGTAAACAGACCTTGTATTATGGGTACTATAACTGATATAATAAATACTTTGATATTTTTTCGAACCCGCGGACCATTGAGGCCGTTTATATATTCTTGTAACGGGAATGGGTAACAATTCTAGCCACTTGATGGTAATGGTAACTGGAGAGGACAAGATTCTCTGGAACGGTGTGGTGTGAATTATGGAACTGATTTAAGTAATAATTTTATATGGATACAACCGACCTAAGTTGTCAGTTTTATGTATTTATTTTTTTTACTTTGGATTTATTGTAAAATTGATAAACATAATGTATCAGTATAAATGATAATAAAATACTAGGTACTTAAATATATTATTAAATAAATTTACACTTCAATAGAATCAAGTAATGTCTTAATGGCATTTCTTATTTTGTAAATTGCGTAATCACGAAATAAATGTATTCAAATATATAAAGTGCAGTTTACCACGAATTATTGGGAGCCCCGTTTATCAACGTTATCTCTTTTCATTTACTTTCTGGGACAGTGACAAATCTGTCACTTCGGGGCCGTTGTTACTGATTTATACGCTTCCGTTAAACGAATTCTGAATAACAAGTTGGAGACATCGAAAGTAGTGTGATTTGTTGTTTCTTAAATCCATGTTAACTACTTTATATTTTTTTATATAGAAACAATAATAAAAAAATATCTATATACACTCATTAAATATTTAAATATATGAATAAAATTAAACTCAATAAAAATATTTATATATGTATACTAATAAATACTAGCGTTAATTCGCTATAAGTAGCATATAAAATTAACATAAGTTACCAATTTCGCACTATTATCAACAATTACTGCCTACGTGCTACGAACTGGCTACGAAAACTGTAGTATTGTTAGAGTTAAGGTATTGCATTGTTATGTTTACATATTATATATACTAATTATAAGGTAGTCGTAATTATAAAGTTATCAATTTTGCCTATTAAATTAAAATTGTAAAGTATTTGAAATTCATATTATTATGAAAACATAGAACATTAATCGGTTAATTAATAACAAATATATAGATTTGCCTAATCTTTAAAGAGGAATAAAACTGATATTTAGCGAAAT